ATGCATTCCAAACGTTTCTGTGTTTTCGAAGCTGGTGAAATGGACTTTTTCATTTGTAGTAAAGACAGAGGCATTATAATACTGGAAGTAAAAAGTGGAAACCAACCTAGAGTCTACAACAGTGCGCAACAGCAACTTGAGAAAGCAGCTAGAGCAGTAAAAATGAAAGTCAGAAAGATAAAAATATCCAGGGATCAATCTGTTTCTGTACGATATGCGGTGGTCATGCCTAATGCATCAAGACAAAGCGATAATCCTCCTTCTGAAGAGGGCTGCTATGAAGAAGACCTAGCCTCCAGAGAAGCATTTGAATATTGGCTTAATTTATTTATGCCCGTGCTAGAAGATCCACGAAAGCTGAATAATGAGAAATATGATAAGTGCCTTGCATGTTTTTTATCAATTATATTGACTGATTATAACTTTAACTACATCCATTCTCATTTGACAAAAACACGCACCCCAGAACAGGCTGAAATTTTAGAAGGATTAAATGAAGAAGCCTATATTACAGGTCCAGCTGGCAGCGGGAAAACTGCATGTCTGGTTATTAAAGCAAGCTCTGAAGAACTCCAATACCAAAGAAAACTTGTTGTGGTGTCCAACACACCCCTAAGGGATCATTTAGGAAAGTGAGTAAAAAGATTTGTCATTAAATGTGCCAGGGGCGTAGCCAGGATTTTCCGACGTGGGAGGCCCAAATTGAAAGAACCGCCTTTTTGTTTGAGCCCCCGAAACGCCGGGCGGGGAAAAAAAAACTGGCTCCCCTGCCTACGCCCTTGGTTACTTATCTTTACTCCTATATCACATGTCTTTTGCATGGTTGTAAGAAAAGTAAAATAGAATGGTAATTTAGAAGTGGGCGAATTTTTGGAATAAGTCATTTTGCAGAGCGGCTTTCTTCATTTTTAACATTCTTTAACAAGAAGAAAGATTCCACTTATATTTTCAATTCCATGGACGTAGAAACAAATTGACATTACTATCTCAAACTCTTTTTAAGGTATATTTTTAACTGAATCACGAAACGCTAGCATGAAATCATCTAATGTGTTTTGGTTGTTTGTGTTTTGAGGAATTCCCTTGTTGGAGTCCAAAACATC